ACGAGGCCCTGCCCCCAGCTTTTGAAACAACCGAACACCAACGCTTTACCGTCACAATATATATATATATATATATATATATATATATATATATATATATATATATATATATATATATATATATATATATATATGCATACATACATACATACATACATACATACATACATACATACATACATGCGTAAATATTTACATTTTATCTTACAACATATACACACATTAACCTCAAAATCATAAAGTTACTTAGCTTAGGGACTATACTTTTGGTTATTCTCGAACCCATTGCTGATATATGTATTAAATTGTGTATCTATAGCTTATCAAGCCTGTAACATGCTTATGGAACTGAATATTTTGGGGGGAGGTTCAGTTCTTGTGCCCATTATTTGTTTCTGTGAAAAAATAATCGACCCCATACCCACATGATGGGTATGGGGGTCGACTCCCACCCACATGATGGGTATGAGGCTCAGAACCACCCACATAATGGGTATGAGGGTCGGTACCCCCCCCCCCACACCCATAATGGGTTCAGGTTGCAAAACAAATGAACTAGACTCAATCACAATCATTCATCGTATTCTAAGGGCATAGCTGACTAAGCGAGTGCTCTGTACAACATCCGCTTTGTCACCCCAGTGGCTGCCTTACCCCAGCATGTGACCCATACAACAGTCTACTACCTCCCTGTTACCTATTTGCTTGCCACATGAACAGAGGCGTCAGATGCAAGGAAATGGGACCAAGCACCTCGCCTTGTCAAGGATTCACATCTTAGATTAGTTGTGTGTGTGTGTGTGTGTGTGTGTGTGTGTGTGTGTGTGTGTGTGTGTGTGTGTGTGTGTGTATTCACCTAGTTGTGTTTGCTGGGGTTGAGCTTTGCTCTTTCGGCCCGCCTCTCAACTGTCAATCAACTGTTTACTAACTATTTTTTTTCGCCACACCACACACAGACCCCAGGAAGCAGCCCGTGACAGCTGACTAACTCCCAGGTACCTATTTACTGCTAGATAACAGGGGCATTCAGGGTGAAAGAAACTTTGCCCATTTGTTTCTGCCTGGTGCGGGAATCGAACCCGCGCCACAGAATTACGAGTCCTGCGCGCTATCCAATAGGCTACTAGGCCCCTCGGTGTGTGTGTGTGTGTGTGTGTGTGTGTGTGTGTGTGTGTGTGTGTGTGTGTGTGTGTGTGTGTGTGTGTGTGTGAGTGTGTGTGTGTGTGTGTGTAAATTACGAAGAAATTAACACGTGATGAATAATATGAAGACACAACCATGTCATATATCTATATATATATCTTATAAACGTTAAAAATATAAGCAAAAATCTAAAACAATTTAAACAACTAAACTTTAAATGCAGTTTGCAATTGCGACAATTTATTTTTGTATTCTTTGTTTATACTCTAAGTGTAAAGTAATACACTTTTAGAACTAAAACATTTGTAAAAAAAACAAAAATCATATATAAAATAAACAGAAAAAAAATAACAACACCCTATTACTTAATTATTCATTAACCAAACTCGTCAAAAATCACACCTTATTTCTAATGACATTTCACTCCAACTTCTCAAAGAATTATTCCTCGCCTGAAGATAATTTTGCACCAAAATCCTTAGAGATCATCCCTGTCCTTAGAAATAATTTCACACGTGGTTGCTGAGGAATTATCCCCTATCCTGGAAATACTTATTAATTCTAAGTTGTTATTAAGTTCTAAGTTGTCCTCTACTATCGAGTGCAACTTATTAAGATGCTGGGAAGAATACGGATGCTGCACGGCTGTGAACAGGAAGCTTAAAGCATATCTCAAAGTGGATCAACATAAACATACTTGCATGTAAGTGGCAAGCAAGAGCCGGTATAGGATACACTTTACGCAATATAAAGACATACCACTGCAATATTGTTCAAAAGTCCCACAAAACAACAAAACACGAAAAAAGCAACAAAACAACAGATATAGCCACACTAAGCCGGCACACAGCCAGCACACAGCCACACTCAGCCAACATACAGCCAGCACACAGCCAGCACACAGCCACACTCAGCCAGCACACAGCCAGCACACAGCCACACTAAGCCAGCACACAGCCAGCACACAGCCACACTCAGCCAGCACACAGCCAGCACACAGCCACACTCAGCCAGCACACAGCCAGCACACAGCCACACTCAGCCAACATACAGCCAGCACACAGCCAGCACACAGCCACACTCAGCCAGCACACAGCCAGCACACAGCCACACTAAGCCAGCACACAGCCAGCACACGACGACGGCTTGTCATACAGCCACGCTCAGCCAGCACACAGCCAGCACACAGCCACACTCAGCCAGCACACAGCCACACTCAGCCAGCACACAGCCACACTCAGCCAGCACTCAGCCAGCACACAGCCTGCACACATACACACTAAGCCAGCACACAGCCAGCACACAGCCAGCACCCAGCCAGCACACAGCTCAGCACACAGCCAGCACACAGCCAACACACAGCCAGCACACAGCCAGCACACAGCCAGCACACAGCCAGCACACAGCCAACACACAGCCAGCACACAGCCAACACACAGCCAGCACACACCCAGCACACAGCCACACTAAGCCAGCACACAGCCACACTAAGCCAGCACACAGCCAGCACACAGCCAGCACACAGCCAGCACACAGCCAACACACAGCCAGCACACACCCAGCACACAGCCACACTAAGCCAGCACACAGCCAGCACACAGCCACACTAAGCCAGCACACAGCCAGCACACAGCCAACACACAGCCAGCACACACCCAGCACACAGCCAGCACACAGCCAGCACACAGCAGCACACAGCCAGCACACAGCCAGCACACAGCCAGCACACAGCCGCACACAGCCAGCACACAGCCAGCACACAGCCAGCACACAGCCACACTAAGCCAGCACACAGCCAGCACACGACGACGGCTTGTCATACAGCCACGCTCAGCCAGCACACAGCCAGCACACAGCTACACTCAGCCAGCACACAGCCACACTCAGCCAGCACACAGCCACACTCAGCCAGCACTCAGCCAGCACACAGCCTGCACACATACACACTAAGCCAGCACACAGCCAGCACACAGCCAGAACACAGCCAGCACACAGCTCAGCACACAGCCAGCACACAGCCAACACACAGCCAGCACACAGCCAACACACAGCCAGCACACAGCCAGCACACAGCCAGCACACAGCCAACACACAGCCAGCACACAGCCAACACACAGCCAGCACACACCCAGCACACAGCCACACTAAGCCAGCACACAGCCAGCACACAGCCACACTAAGCCAGCACACAGCCAGCACACAGCCAGCACACAGCCAGCACACAGCCAGCACACAGCCAACACACAGCCAGCACACACCCAGCACACAGCCACACTAAGCCAGCACACAGCCAGCACACAGCCACACTAAGCCAGCACACAGCCAACACACAGCCAGCACACACCCAGCACACAGCCAGCACACAGCCAGCACACAGCAGCACACAGGCAGCACACAGCCAGCACACAGCCAGCACACAGCCAACACACAGCCAACACACAGCCAACACACAACCAGCACACAGCCAACACACAGCCAACACACAGCCAACACACAGCCAGCACACAGCCAGCACACAGCCAACACACAGCCAACACACAGCCAACACACAGCCAACACACAGCCAGCACACAGCCAACACACAGCCAACACACAACCAGCACACAGCCAACACACAGCCAACACACAGCCAACACACAGCCAGCACACAGCCAGCACACAGCCAACACACAACCAACACACAGCCAACACACAGCCAGCACACAGCCAGCACACAGCCAACACACAGCCAGCACACAGCTAGCACACAGCCAGCACACAGCTAGCACACAGCCAGCACACAGCCAGCACACAGCCAGCACACAGCCAGCACACAGCTAGCACACAGCCAGCACACAGCCAACACACAGCCAACACACAGCTAGCACACAGCCAGCACACAGCTAGCACACAGCCAGCACACAGCCAGCACACAGCCAGCACACAGCCAGCACACAGCTAGCACACAGCCAGCACACAGCTAGCACACAGCCAGCACACAGCCAGCACACAGCTAGCACACAGCCAGCACACAGCCAGCACACAGCCAGCACACAGCCAGCACACAGCCAGCACACAGCCAGCACACAGCCAGCACTCAGCCAACACACACCCAACACACAGCCAGCACACAGGCAGCACACAGCCAGCACACAGCCAGCACACAGCCAGCACACAGCCAGCACACAGCCAGCACACAGCCAGCACACAGCTAGCACACAGCCAGCACACAGCCAGCACACAGGCAGCACACAGCCAGCACACATCCAGCACACAGCCAGCACACAGCCAGCACACAGCCAGCACACAGGCAGCACACAGCCAGCACACAGGCAGCACACAGCCAGCACTCAGCCAGCACACAGCCAGCACACAGCCAGCACACAGCCAGCACTCAGCCAACACACACCCAACACACACCCAACACACAGGCAGCACACACCCAGCACACAGCCAGCACTCAGCCAGCACACAGCCAGCACACAGCCAGCACTCAGCCAACACACACCCAACACACAGCCAGCACACAGCCAACACACAGCCAACACACAGCCAGCACACAGCTAGCACACAGCCAGCACACAGCCAGCACACAGCCAACACACAGCCAACACACAGCCAGCACACAGCCAGCACACAGCCAACACACACCCAGCACTCAGCCAACACACAGCGACGGCTTGCCACACAACTTCCACTATTCGACATCAACAAGAAGCGCAAAACACAACACAAATGAAAAGCCACAAAAACCTCCACCACACTTAACAGTAAAGTTAGACGAAGATAAATGCTTTTGTGAAAAAAAGGGACATGAAAACCACACTGGTAAGAGCTACACACACACAGCTCTGATCACTGCTGGACGGTCAGATCACCTTGTGACTGGCGATGTCCTGAGGCAGACCCACTATAGGCAGCAGCTCCGTCAGACACACCACCTTCTCCCCCAGGCGCTGAAGGAGGGGACGACCCACGTGCATACAGAGAAAGAGGGAAACACAGGTGACAATAATCTTAATCGTACTGATTTATTTTTAATATATAAGGTTTTGAGAGGAGGAAGATGATAGCATCATGGATATATAATGAGATGCTTTGAATCTTATCAAATATATTGGTAGACTAGTGTTATAATACAGAAAATGGTTGTTCCACTACAGGTCACCACAGTGGGGTTGTTCCACTACAGGTCACCACAGTGGGGTTGTTCCACTACAGGTCACCACAGTGGGGTTGTTCCACTATAGGTCACCACAGTGGGGGTTGTTCCACTACAGGTCACCACAGTGGGGTTGTTCCACTATAGGTCACCACAGTGGGGTTGTTCCACTACAGGTCACCACAGTGGGGTTGTTCCACTATAGGTCACCACAGTGGGGTTGTTCCACTACAGGTCACCACAGTGGGGTTGTTCCACTATAGGTCACCACAGTGGGGTTGTTCCACTACAGGTCACCACAGTGGGGTTGTTCCACTACAGGTCACCACAGTGGGGTTGTTCCATTACAGGTCACCACAGTGGGGTTGTTCCACTACAGGTCACCACAGTGGGGTTGTTCCACTACAGGTCACCACAGTGGGGTTGTTCCACTACAGGTCACCACAGTGGGGTTGTTCCACTACAGGTCACCACAGTGGGGGTTGTTCCACTACAGGTCACCACAGTGGGGGTTGTTCCACTACAGGTCACCACAGTGGGGTTGTTCCACTAGAGGTCACCACAGTGGGGTTGTTCCACTAGAGGTCACCACAGTGGGGTTGTTCCACTACAGGTCACCACAGTGGGGTTGTTCCACTACAGGTCACCACAGTGGGGTTGTTCCACTACAGGTCATCACAATTTTTTGTCTTTATTTAACCACTGCTTTTCAGAATTTTATTAAATTGGAGATGTAGTTTCAAAATGTTTAAAACAATGTTGACTAAAGTCGCTTCTAAGGGTCCCTCAGGAAATAGGGCCCCTGAAGCTTAAGATTCAGTGGTATCATCCGCCCCTTAGGGCAGCAGCTGGCCCTTCGGGATATACATGGCGAGAGCCGTGTGTTCCGTTTCAAGGTGTATATATATACTGAGAGTCTACGTTCGTTCTCAGCATAGTTTAAGACCAAGACATACTTGCTGGTTAGTCATTTTTAACAAACAGCTTAACAATTGCGGCTTAGTCTGCAGTTATCAAACAGTTTACGAGCTTCAAAACATATCACAACTCTAGGTATTTATTGTTATAGACAATCTCGTAGCGCTTCGGAACTCATAAACTTTTACAAAAATGTAAACAAAGTCGCTTTGATTAAGGAAAGCTGTGCAGCTTTCGTAAGTGAATACGTATGAATGCTTGAAGAAACCTGTCACTGTTGGGGTGATACCCCCCAACCTGTCATTGGTGGGGTGACACCCCCCCACCTGTCACTGTTGGGGTGATACCCCCACACCTGACACTGGTGGGGTGACACCCCCACCTGTCATTGGTGGGGTGACACTCCCCTCCTGTCACTGATGGGGGGTATCCTATAGCTATAGGGGTGTCCTATAGACCTATACCCAAACAAACCATCACCCCCCCCAACTACCTTATTAAAAGAAACATCGATACAATCCCTTGTACATTTGCTCATGACAACTGGGATCAGGGAAGCTGATCGACATACCATAGCCTTAAGGCAATTTCCTGAACAGAATTCCTTCTGCCTTATAACCAGGACCTGGGTTTATGTTACATGAATATGGAGTCTGAGAACTGACAAACTTCTCCTAGAAATATTATATAAAATAGTAGGGAATTTGTGATGAAATGTTATCATGTAAAAAAAAGGGGGGGGGGAGTGTATGGTAGGATTGAAAAGCTATTGTAGAAGCTTGGAAATTTATTGTAGAAGTTGGGAAATTTAGGGTAGGAGTGAGAAAAATGTTGTATGATTTTTAAAATCTAAGGGTTTTCAACGATATCGTAATTGTTGGAAAAGCAATCGTAGGGAATGTAAATGTATGAAAAAAGTGTGTATAGAGATATTATAGGGGTGTGCAAACCTATCGTTCTGGTGTAAAAAGCTGTCGTAGGAGTGTTAAAAGATATCTCAGATGAGTTAAAAAATAATCGCTGGTGTAAGAAAATCAATCGTATAGATGTAAACAAAAAACCTATCGTAAGATAATGACGGATTTTGGCATGAGTGCAACGAAAGTATCGCAGGATTGTAACGAGCCATCGTAAAAAAGAGCTATCGCTATGCAGGCGATGAGTCACAATAACGTGGCTGAAGTATGTTGACCAGACCACACACTAGAAATTGAAGGGACGACGACGTTTCGGTCCGTCCTGGACCATTCTCAAGTCGATCTCATTCTCACAATCGACTTGAGAATGGTCCAGGACGGACCGAAACGTCGTCGTCCCTTCAATTTCTAGTGTGTGGTCTGGTCAACAGCTATCGCTATATTGGCTATCGTAATAACTAGAAATAGGTTCTCTTAAGAACTAGAAAAAGACTATCCGTCAACGTACAACTTACGGCCTGCTATCCCCAGTCAAATTGCCAGGAATCATTGCACAGCTTACAACATGTTGATGCAAAGCAACGCAGCCCTGAACGAGGGAGTTAACTCGCGGAAATACAAGCACCTATTGAGTGACGTAATTGATGATTGATGAAGATTAAGCCACGCAAGAGGTGGCACGTAAACCCGTGACGTACCGCAATAATGTACGGATACCGTACGGATCGTAGAGGAGAGTAGGAGACGTGCAGCTGCAGCGTGCTGACCGTACTACGTACTGCTCAAAGCTAAATGAAAAAATCATTTGACGTTGATATTTCCTCGCATTTAGGCATGACAAAAAAGTGATTTGCCCTGGATGTATCTGGTCAGGGACGCCTGGTAGCAGATGTTTGCTTAGGACGCATGGTCCGGACGCATAGTCTGGGCGCATGGTCTGGGCGCATGGTCTGGGCGCATGGTCGGGGACGCGTGGTTAGAGATGCTGGGCAAGAGATGCTGCAGGGGGGGAACCTGATATTCTTCACATGACTCGTAAAAATATAAAAATGATTTAACTAAGATTCTAAGGAATAGTACAAAATAGAACATGCATTCAGAAACCCTTAACTCAGGAGATGTATGAAGCAGAGGAAGACTAGAAGTAGGAGGTGGAAGTGGAAGAGGAGGACGAAGAAGAAGAGGAGGAGGAAGAAGAATAAGAGGAGGAGGAGGAGGAGTGGATAGGAAAACAAAGAGGACAGGAGGAAAGAGTCAAGATAAGGAGACTGGTACGCTGAAATGAAAAAGTCTTGTAGTTTAGAGAGGGGGGAAGAGAGCCAGCTGTCATCACAAGTCGTGCCATCTGCGGGCACCGGCAGTGAGGGGCTCGAACGTTACTGCAGGTGGTGCAAGGAGACGCCTGCCCACCACAACGACGTCACACACTCAAGCCAACATAAGCATGTGCAAGAACTCTGCCTCTTGGATGTGTCTGTGTGTATATATATGTGTGTGTGTACGTGCGAGTTGTACTCTAGAGTGTGTGGTGTGGTGTGTGTGTGTGTGTGTGTGGTGTGGTGTGTGTGTGTGTGTGTGTGTGTGTGTGTGTGTGTGTGTGTGTGTGTGTGTGTGTGTGTGTGTGTGTGTGTGTGTGTGTGTGTGTGTGTGCGCGTGCGTGCGTTTGTATTTACCTATAAGAACTTGCCTATCAGTACTTAGCTATCAGGATTTACGAACGAATAAAGCCTATAGCTCTTCATGCCCCGCCTACTAGCCTTGTTGCACCTGTTACGTTATAATTAAACTGTTCTGACATCCATAAATTCTTTCTCAACTCAGGCCTTAAAATTGCGTATAGAGGTGGCTTCTACAACTTCTTCTGTCGGTGCATTCCTCTTGTTGATCACCCATACTGGGTACGAGTGTGTGTAGGGGAGAAGGGTGCGTTTGAAGCTGACATTGTCCGTTCTGCATAAGATCTGACATTAATGATCTTTCAATGGGAAGGGATCTTATTTTGGTCTTTTCAGGGAGTCACTTTGGAGGTTGTGCCTCTGGAAGTGGTGACACTTGAAGGAGTGACACTTAAGGGGGTGACAGAGACGCATTACGTAAAGCATTGGTGGCGTCAAAAACCTCAAAGACGATGTTAAAGGTATTTCCTTGAGGCGATACCGAGGAAGATGGAGCGTGAGGCAGATTAATCAGTGCCGGGAAACGTTCGAGGGGAGCGAGAGTCGGGGCGTGAGGTCACTGCTGGGGGGTGAGGGGAGAACGTGAGGGGCAGCACGCCACTGACGTCACACAGCAATCATACAGTGTCATCACCACCATCACAAAGAATTGCAGAATTGTAAGATCAGAACTGTAACGCAATAGGTGTAACAAAGGCTTCAAGACACTGTCAGATAAGTAGTACCGCGCCCACCACCACCACCCTCACCACCACAACCCCCTACCACTATCACCCTTTCCACCACCATCACCAGCCCTACCACCATCATCCCCACCACCACCACCTAACTAGAAGAATACTCTGGGTCAAAACCTTAACTTCGATATATAACAAGACCCTCTTAAGCGCGGCGTCAGGCCGACGCCGCCACCACCCGATCAACCAGTGATCAACATATCATAGTACTGATAACAGGATCTGATCATTCTAATCCATTACCTATTACTCTATGATCTACCATCAGCTGTACTCACCTAGTTGCGCTTGCGGAGGTTGAGCTCTAGCTCTTTGGGCCCGCCTTTCAACTGTCAACTGTTTTTTCACACACACACACAAACACACATACACACGTCTCAGACTGGCGAGACGTTACAAGTGGAGTCCCGCAGGGGTCAGTCCTTGGACCTATACTGTTTCTGATATACGTAAATGATCTCCCAGAGGGTATAGAATCGTTTCTCTCAATGTTTGCCGATGATGCAAAAATTATGAGAAGGATTGAAACAGAGGATGATAGTAGAA